GCCGAAACTAACCCGCCCTTGCCAAACGAAAGAAAGCTAGCAGGATTTATTGGCATAATTGGCCTTGCTAATCCTCGTATTCTGAGTACAACCAATTCTGAGTTCTGTTTTTGCCCCGCCGCTTGCCGGCCTCTACCAATCATGTGGTAAGGTAGCGGACAGGCAAGTATGGTTATGCCACGTGACATGACCATATTGAGCGATTTTGAGCTTTCGTTGAGTTGCACAAAGGAATTAGTAAATCCACGACCATAAGTTTCTGTGAATCGGTTCTAAGACACCTCCCAAATACTTTGATAAATTCTAGCAAGAAAGTGGAGGACTAGTTCCAGATTTGATGAGAAACTGGAACGATCAATTCGACATCAATTCACAACGTTGTGCAGAAGATTTGGAACTAGTGCCTCATTTCTGCACTGAAACTCCCGAAAATATTTGGGAGATATCTCAAGATATATTCACACAGAACTGTGCTGGAGGATTTGCGGTTTCCGTCCTCCGAAAGGCTGAATTCAGGAAAAGTACTAAGGCTTCCCAAAAAGGTGATAGGTCACGTGGGGTAACCATATCTGTCTGTCCGCTATGATTGGTAGTGGCCGGCAAGCGGCGGGGCAAAAATAGAACTCGGTATTGTCAATACCGTATTGACGTAGTTTCCAATTCCTGTTCTGTCCCGGTGTCCCGCCGTTTTTGTTTTCAAAAGAAATTATTAAGTTTCAACTTTTGGCGCATTTGGCGTCTCAACGCAAAGTGTGTCCATTTCCGATTTCACCCTGCGACAGGTCGACTTGTTTCATCTTGCCGGCGGTGCTGGACGGGTGTTAGGCGGCGATCTTTTGATATAAAGACTCGAGTTCTTGGTCTATTTGAGACAATACAATAGGGGAATTGGAAAATGCAAACCAACAGTCAGTGCTTTCTTGGTGCTTTCACTGTCAAATTCCTTTGGATTTTTGTAGACTGGATATTTGGCGGTGCGGAAATCGAAAAAATCACCTAGAAAGAGAGGATTGTAGAGGGTTTAGAGAGGCTCTTGAGCTTCCAAGATCTGTTCACCGTTCGCTCTGATCCCTTGATGGGCAGGCCTGATGTGCCTGTAAATAAGGCGCCGGAAGCCTCTCGGAATATTGAGAAACCATACTGTGTGATGTCAGGAATGTCTAAGGATGCTGCTATCAATTTTAGCAACAACACTTTGAGTATGCTGCGCTTTTTGACCTGATGCATTATTACAGAAGTGAACACAGGTGAAGAGGAGCTTACTAGAATCCCTGAGAACATAGCTGAATGGAAGGCTCTTGCTATCTGCTCCATTTCACCCTATTGCACAATGCGACCTCCAATTTACAGTATTTGAAGCCAAAGAAGAAGTTGGCGTGATTTTTTCCGCTTTGGTGCAGGGAGAGCTGTAGAAATTTTGGAAGCTAAGCTGAGGCACGAACTTACCTCTCCAGTACCTTTCTAGAGAGAGAGCTTTCCCTTTGAAAAGACCTTACCGTATGCGCGCGACGCAAGGTCGCGATTGATGCCTGTGGCAACCGTGTGAACTTATGTTATGCTATGTGCCGCTAACGAATCTCGCACCGGAGTGGACTCTTTTTTTTGGTGCTATTTCCTTCCTCTCGACTGAAATTAGTCTGTCAAATATTTCTGTGAATTAAGGCTAGCTAAACAAGGGTCAGCAGAAGATGGCACATAACTTGTACAGCCAACAACCCAGCGGACCGGGCGGTAAACCGAATGATGGTATCAAAGATGACGTAGAGGTAACTGGTCACGTTTTTAGCGGACATTCTTGGAGGTGTGGAGCAAAACTAGAACTACGTTCTATTTTTGAATGATTGGAAGTTGCCGGCAAGCGGCGGGCACAAACAGTTTTGGAGCGATGGTCAGTGTTACGTTCGGTGGGTGTTTTTTGGTTAAACAACGGAAGTGCTTGTGCCAAGATACATAGAAATCACATTCGCCCGATTGGGGCGAGCATTGATGGCAACAAATGTAGCGGTTGAGCATTGGTTAAGTAAACAAAGGTGTGCAGAATATTAATTTGGTGGTCCCAGGACCCTTGGTTGGGTATCTTTTTCAGGATATATCCAGGGAGTTTTGAACTGTCGCTTATTTTGATGAGTTCTTCGAGAATGGCCGCTTGTAGGTCAGCGTCATGACCAAATGGTCACGTTTTATGCACCGGCACGTGAGTGTTTTGGCGACATTCTTGGTCTCTAGAGCACAAAAGAACTAAAGTTCTGTTTGTGAACCTAACCCCGCCATTCCAAGGGTGATCGCAAATCGGTCAGGAGACCGATTAAAACCGAACATGCCGGCCGGCGAAACCCTCGGCAATCTGAGGCCATTTCTGCGGGAATGAAACCCTTGGAGTGACCGATTTTTCCCGCTACCTAACCCCGCCATTCCAAGGGTGATCGCAAATCGGTCAGGAGACCGATTAAAACCGAACATGCCGGCCGGCGAAACCCTCGGCAATCTGAGGCCATTTCTGCGGGAATGAAACCCTTGGAGTGACCGATTTTTCCAGCCAAGATGACTCAACCCGGCCATCTCCTATCCGTGATTTGTTCCTCCATCTTCTATCCCGCCACGTACATCGACATGCGCAGTCCGCGGGGTAACTGCTATCTGCGGGCGCTGTAAACGGTAACAGCACTAGTGCTACACGGCGGTTTTTGTTACTCGATCGCAATTGGTAACGAGTCGCGGCGTTAAAAGTGGGGCATTTTTGTTATCTGACCCTGGGGTAGTCAAGTGCCGTTCACGGCAAGTGCGACGCCAGTGTAGATTATCGCTTGCCCTCAGGCTTTTCTTCATTGGAGCTCGCAACGGAGGTATGAGACAATTATTCAACTCCTTCGCGCCTACGCGGTGAATCCTCGGTTAGACCGCCTCCCGCAGGAACGTCATAAATGTACACATTCGAATCCTACGATTTCGTTCCGGATCGACGTCAACGCAATGCATGTTCCACCCGACATCTAAGGCGGATATTGCATTTTTTTGGCAATTTTGGCTAGAAGCCTCTCTACTCTCAGTGCGTGACACATCCTATCAAGCCCGCATGGATCAGTGGTTAGATCGCCTTCTAAACTTAGGAAATTTGATATTCGCATATTTATGTAGGAGACGGAGGTTCGATCCCTCCTGCGGGCACGATGTTGTCAATGATTAGTTTTCCCCCAAAAAAGTCTTGTCCTCTTTCTTTCTTGTTTTTTTTTGGTTAAATAGGTTCCGCTAGGACCACTGCCTGCATCGTCACTCTAAATAACACATCTCCAGCTCCACCATCCACGCAAGTAGTTGTCTGCATTAACCTTAGTTCTAGATCTTTCCCATCTGCACACTACCACACAGTCATTTAATATTGCTTTGCCTCTAGGCAGGGAACCGTGGCCATACTCCCAAAGCCCGCATAGATCAACGCACATCTGTCCAACTTCGACATGCTTGCTCTTTGAGTTTGTATACAGGAGACGGAGGTTCGAATCCTCCTGTGGGCATGAACACTTTGTGTCCGCCTTTTTTCTGCACCTTGACGAGCAATCGAGCAATATCAATACTAGTAGTTCCTTTTGGCAGTCGTCAATTCTTTCTCGTCTGCACTCACACACGACGTGACTATTGTATTTTCGGCAATTTTGGCCAGAAGTATCTCTAGTCTCAGTGCGTGCCACAGTTCTCATGCCTGCATAGATCAGTGGTTAGATCGCCTTCTAAATTTGAGAATGCTATAAACCCGTAATTATGCAGGAGACGGAGGTCGATTCCTCCTGCGGGCATGGATAGGTCGCTCATTTTTTTCTCGAAAAATCGGGCTCTTGCGTTTCACCAAGCTCTTTCTTTCTCTTCGTTTCGAATACTTAGGTTACCATGTGATTCCGCTAGTACCACTGCTTGCATCGAGGGCTCTCAACAACCCATCTCCAGACTCCAGCTCCACCATCCACATTATTCAGTTCCATTAACCTTAAAATCTTTCTCATCTGCACTAGACAGTCATTCAGTTGCTTCGCCTCTCGGCAGGGAATCATATCCATCCCCTGAAACACCTGCATAGATCAACGAGATACGCCTGTCAAAACTTTCTCGATTGGTTCGTAACTTATACAGGAGACGGAGGTTCGGATCCTCCTGCGGGAATGCTTGATACTTGCTGTTCTTTTTGGGCACATATTTCTCCCTGTTTTGATTTTTTGCAATTGTCAAATTCTCGTTCCCCGCCCTTTCTAGATTCGGAAACATGCTAACAATCTCTCGATGGAACAATAGGCGAGTCCCAGCTTCGAATTTTGCTGCACTCTTGTGATGACTACATAGTGGCAGGTATCGGATCTTGAACCACACATCGGAACACCTGCATAGATCAATGTTAGATCACCTCTGAACTTTACGTCTGTCCATGTTGACAATGAGATGGAGGTTCGAATCCTCCTGCGGGCATGGATAGGTCGCTCATTTTTTTCTCAAAAAATCGGGCTCTTGCGTTTCACCAAGCTCTTTCTTTCTCTTCGTTTCGAATACTTAGGTTACCATGTAATTCCGCCAGCACTGCCTGCATCGAGCCTCTAAACAACCATCTCCAGCTCTGGCACTGGTCGTCTCCATCAACCTTAGTCCTAGATCTTTCTCATCTGCACACTACCTACCACACAAGTCATTTAATATTGCTTTGCCTCTAGGCAGGCAACTGTGGCCATACTCCCAAAGCCCGCATAGATCAACGCCAGATCACCTGTCCAACTTCAACATGTTTGCTCTTCGAGTTTGTATACAGGAGCCGGAGGTTCGAATCCTCCTGCGGGCATGACCCCCTTCTATCGACCTTTTTCTGCACCTTGACGAGCAATCGAGCAATATCAATACTAGTAGTTCCTTTTGGCAGTCGTCAATTCTTTCTCGTCTGCACTCACACACACGACGTGACTATTGTATTCTCGGCAATTTTCGCCAGAAGCATCTCTACTCTCAGTGAACGACACAGCTATTGAGCCCGCATAGATCAGTGGTTAGCTCGCCTTGCAAATTTGTGCTGAAAAACTTCAAAATATATGGAAGAGACGGAGGTTCGATTCCTCGTGCGGGCATGGGTGGATAGGTAACTTTTTCCCAAAAAATAATAATCCTGTCCTCTTGCGTTTCACCAAGCTCTGTCTTTCTCTTTCGAATAGGTTACGTTGTGGTACCACTGCCTGCATCGAGGCTCTAAACAACCCATCTCCAGCCACGTTAGTTGTCTCTGACATTAAACTTAGTTCTTTCTCATCTGTTCTCATCTGCACATAGGCTACCACACACAGTCATTGATTTTGCCTCCAGGCAGGGAATCACAACCATCCCCTGAACACCTGCATAGATCAACGAGATCACCTGTCCAACTTCGACATGTTTGCTCTTGAGTTTGTATACAGGAGACGGAGGTTCGAATCCTCCTGCGGGCATGAACGCCTTGTATCGACCTTTTTCTGCCCCGTGACGAGCAATCGTGCAATATCAATACTAGTACTAGTAGTTCCTTTTGGCACTCGTCAATTCTTTCTCATCTGCACTCACACACCGACGTGATTATTGTATTTTCGGTAAATTTTAGCTGAAGCATCTCCACTCTCAGTGTGTGTTACAGCTCTCAAGCCCACATAGATCAATTGGTTAGATCGCCTTCCAAATTTGAGGTTGATATATTCCGGAACTATATGCAGGAGACGGAGGTTCGAATCCTCCTGCGGGCATGGGCGGATAGGTAACTTTTTCCCAAAAAATAATAATATTGTCCTCTTGCGTTTCACCAGGCTCTTTCCCTCTTTTTTCGAACAGGTTATATTGTGGTACCACTGCATCGAGGCTCTAAACAACCCATCTCCAGCCACGTTAGTTGTCTCCATCAACCTTGGTTCTTTCTCATCTGTTCTCATCTGCACACAGGCTACCACACACAGTCATTTAATTGTTTTCCCTCTAGGCAGGGAATCATATCCATCCCCTGAACACCTGCATAGATCAACGCAGATCACCTGTCAAACTTTCTCGATTGGTTTGTATACCTTATACAGGAGACGGAGGTTCGAATCCTCCTGCGGGCATGGGCGGATAGGTAACTTTTTCCCAAAAAATAATAATAATAATAATATTGTCCTCTTGCCGTTCACTAAGCTCTTTCTTTCTCTTTTTTTTCTTCGAATTGGTTACGTTGTGGTACCACTGCCTGCATCGAGGCTCTAAACAACCCATCTCCAGCCACGTTAGTTGTTTCCATTAACCTTAGTTCTAGATCTTTCTCATCTGCACACTACCATGCACAGTCATTTAATTGTTTTGCATCTACGCATGGAATCACAACCATCCCCTGAACACCTGCATAGCTCAACGAGATCACCTGTCCAACTTCGACATGTTTGCTCTTTGAGTTTGTATACAGGAGACGGAGGTTCGGATCCTCCTGCGGGCATGACCACCTTCTATTGACCTTTTTCTGCACCTTGATCAATTGAGCAATGTCAATACTAGTACTTCCTTTTGGCAGTCGTCAATTCTTTCTCGGCTGCACTCACACACCGACACTAGGGACAAGGACCCAGGCACATGAAAGTCATGTGCGATAAACGCAGGTCCATCGCAGATGGACCGGAGATATCGAAAGGTAATGTAACAACTTAACAATTGGTCTTTGCTAGACAAAGGGTGGACAAAGAGCAGACAAAGGGCAGGGGAGATTTCCCAGGTGCAGGGAATCATGCCCTGAGCCGGTCCTGCCCTTTGTCTACCTTTGTCTTGCCTTTGTGCAGTAAAGAACCATTGGCAAGCTGTCACAATATCTCCGGTCCATCTGCGATGGACCTGCGTTTATCGCACCTGGCTTCCATGTGCGTGGGTCCTTGCCCCTAGTGCGACGTGACTATTGTATTTTCGGCAAATTTTAGTTGAAGAATCTCCACTCTCAGTGTGTGCCACAGCTCTCAAGCCTGCATAGATCAATTGGTTAGATCGCCTTCCAAATTTGAGGTTGATATATTCCGGAACTATATGCAGGAGACGGAGGTTTGAATCCTCCTGTGGGCATGGATAGATCGGTAACCTTTTTTCCCGAAAAACAATAATCTTGTCCTCTTGTGTTTCACCAAGCTCTGTCTTCCTCGAATAGGTTACCATGTGATTCCGCTAGCACCACTGCCTACATCGACTCTAAACAACTCATCTCCAGTACACACTAGTAGTTATCTGCATTAAACTTAGTTCTTTCCCATCTGCACACTACCACACACAGTCATTTAATTTAATTGCTTTTGCATCTACGCATGGAATCACAACCATCCCCTGAACACCTGCATAGATCAACGAGATCACCTGTCCAGCTTTAAGTGATTTGCTCGTTCAAGTTTGTATACAGGAGACGGAGGTTCGAATCCTCCTGCGGGAATGGTTGATGACTGCAGTTCTTTTTGGGCACATATTTCTCCTTGTTTTGGTTTTTTGTGAAATTCTTGTCCCACTGCGCGATTTGGAACCATGTTACAATGGAATCTGTACCCAGCTGGCAGACATTAACCCCCGAAGAGTCCCTCCTACCATGGCCGGCTACTGCTCTGGCATATCTAATTCCAAACCAGCACTCATGAAGCCCGCGCAGATTAGATTGCTTTCTCTCAGTTGATATACGAAGAGACGAAGGGAGGTTCGAATCCTCCTGCAGGCATTGGTGTTTCATGTTGTTCTTTTTCGCTGCATGAGACAAATGATCAACCAACTAGACCTGAAACCAGTACATACTTCCTCTCGCTTCCATCGACCTCGGTTCTTTCTTGTGACTATATAATATGATTATTGCAGCCATCGTTTTGGCTCGAACTCTTATGATCACCAGTGGCAGGTAGCGGATCCTGAACCACATAGGAACACCTGCATAGATCAACGCTAGATCACCTGTCAAACTCACCATGCTCAATCTCTGTTGTAGACAGGAGATGGAGGCTCGAATCCTCCTGTGGGCATGAACACGTTGTATCCACCTTTTTCTGCGCCTTGACGAGCAATCGAGGAATATCAATACTAGTACTTCCTTTTGGCAGTCGTCAATTCTTTCTCGTCTGCACTCACACACCGACGTGACTATTGTATTTTCGGCAAATTTTAGCTGAAGCCTCTCTAGTCTCAGTGTGTGCCACAGCTATCACCCGCATAGATCAATTGGTTAGACCGCCTTCCAAAATTTCAGGTTGATATTCCGGAACTATACGCAGGAGACCGATGGGTAGATCGGTAACTTTTTCCCAAAAAAAAGAAATCTTGTCCTCTCGTGTTTACCGAGCTCTTTCTTTCTCTTCTTTCGAATACTTAGGTTACATTGTGGTTCCGCTAGTACTACTGCCTGCATCGACACTCTAAACCCATCTCCAGACTCCAGCTCCACCATCCACATTATTCAGTTCCATTAAACTTAGTCCTAAATCTTTCTCCTCTGCACTAGACAGTCATTTAGTTGCTTTCCCACTAGGCAGGGTATCATATCCATCCCTGAACACCTGCATAGATCAACGAGATCGCCTGTTAAACTTTCTCGATTGGTTTGCATAACTTATACAGGAGATGGAGGTTCGAAACCTCCTGCGGGAATGGTTGATAGTTGCTGATCTTTTTGGGCACATATTTCTCTTTGTTGTCGTTTTTTGTGAGATTCTTGTCCCCACTGCGCGATCCGGAACCATGTTACGATGGAATCTGTGCCCAAACGGGAGGTATCAAACCCCGGACGAGTCCAGTCCTCCTACCAGCTTCGAATTTTACCGTACTCTTGTGATGACTACATAGCGGCAGGTAGCGGATCCTGATCCACACATCGGAACACCTGCATAGATCAACGTTAAATCACCTCTCAAGCTTCACGTCTGTCCATGTTGACAATGAGATGGAGGTTCAAATCCTCCTGCGGGCATACATGGGAAGAAGCATCTGTTTTTTACTCCGCAACTGAACAATATTAATCCCTGGGTCTGTACTTCAGCGGGCAGCAAACAAACCCCGCTAGCGCGTGTTACGGTTGTCATTTGCTGGCAGCGATTAAAATTCGCGCACTATGACTGTCTGAAAATGTGTCCCCTCCTACCAGCTCGTGGCATAATTCCAAATCATCAGTACCCCCAATTACAAGCCCGTATAGATCAATGCTAGATCATCTCTTCCCAATATTGTGGTTGCAATCAATCGATACTGAGAAGATGGAGGTTCGAATCCTCCTGCGGGCATACGGAATGTCATTGGTAACCTTTGATTTTTTGTATTTCTTAGGCTTTTCCATTCTTAGAGCTCACTCCCTACACACCGACAATTCTGAACTTGATTCTGAGCTCTATTGGTGAACAGCATCAGCGCTAGTCGAAAGTTCATTCAAGAGTTTCTCACTATCACTGTGCCTCAAACAAACACATTTGAATGACTGGGAGTCCATTCTCTCTTGCTTTTGTGGGATACTTGATTCCAAACCATCAGCACTCACCAAGCCCACATAGATCAATGCTAGATCATCTCTCCACAATTATTGGTACATTTAGTCTGATACCGAGAAGACGAAGGTTTGAATCCTCCTGCAGGCGTGAGGAAAACTGCTAGTCACCTTTGATTCTTTCCCCTTCTTAGAGCGCCCTCCCAGTGTGCTTATACACCTGAACTCAACTCGGAGCTCAATTGGTGAACAGCACCAGCGCAAGTTGAAAGCTTATTCACGAGTTTCTCGCTATCACTGTACCCAAACACACATTTGAATGAGTCCTGCTCTGTGGAATAATTCCAAACCACCAGTACTCACCAAGCCCGCATAGATCAATGCTAGATCATCTCTTCACATCATGATTGGCGCGTACACAGCCTGATACCAAGAAGATGGAGGTTCGAATACTCCTGCGGGCATTAGGAGTGTGAAGATCTCTTTTTTACACTTGTCCTTGATTTTCGCCACTGTTGGTTCTTGCAATTATAAGAGCGTAATAGATTCCGCGACAACACTTGGCCCCTGGGTCTGTACTTCCGTGGGCAGCGATCAAACCCTGTGCCCTTTGGCTACCATTGTTGTCTGAAACTGTGTCCCCTCCTACCAGCTCGTGGCATAATTCCAAACCACCAGTACTCACCAAGCCCGTATAGATCAATGTTAGATCATCTCTCCACAGTTATTGGGACATTCATTCCGATACCGAGAAGGCGGAGGTTCAAATCCTCCTGCGGGTATAGGGAGCAGTATATTGGTTTTTTTACTTATTCCTAGTTTTTCGCCAGTGTTTGGGTTTTTCTAAGTCCATGGGCCTGCACTTCCGCGGGCAGTGATCAAATCGTTATTGCCTTGCAGCCATTAAAATTCGCGCACTATGGCTGTCTGAAAATGTGTCCCCTCGTGGCATAATTCCAAATGACCAGTACTCACCAAGCCCGCATAGATCAATGCTACATCATCTCTTCACAATGTTGTTGGCGCAGTCTGATACCGAGAAGGCGGAGGTTTGAATCCTCCTGCGGGCATATATCTTCAGAAATTTGGTTTTTTGTGTTTCTTTTCCGTTCTTAGAGCTCACTCCCAAGCCTCCCTATACACCCTGAACTCGACTTGGCCAACACACCAGCCCTTCCGAGTCAAAAAGTTCAACCATCGCTGACCCTCAAAAACAAACACATTTGAACGAGTTCACTCCCACCTGCTTTCGTGCAAATACTTTATTAGCTCCTCTTAAGTTCTGGTAGAAATCATCAACACAAGATCTTAAGTCTCCAGGAACTTAAGTCCCGCACATAATACTATATGGCTGTGGTATCAGCTGCATTGTTACATATCCTGGACCTTAAGTTGTCAACTTGAATTCCAAACTCAAGACGTGATTCGGAACTCAAGATCATAATTAAATATTCCAGTTCAGTTCAGCGCGGAAGTACTTAAGAGTTGAAATCAAACTTAAGACCCGACCTCAAACTTGAGTTCCGCCCGAACTGAAGTTCCACACTGCGTTCAGTTCTATCAGCTTAAATCGTACCGCCTTTTTGATCTGGTGGACTTGGGTTTTTCCCGACATACTCGTCACTGACGGTCATCAGCCCATTACTCTCTAGATATAACGCTGAGAAACTCCTTACCTAGGTTTATTGCCGGTAGCAACTGTCGCTGCCTGTTTCTGCTCACGCACCTCTGGCCTCCTGTAAATTTAGTCAGACGCAGGACTAGTCGCAGTAGATGAAAGCTTACCTCAGGCGTCAGAGGTTTCCGGCTAGTACGTCGCTCCGCGCCTGCCTCCTCCGGTACAAGCTGAGCCTCAGCCTCAGCTAATAAACGAAGATAATGAATGAGTATTGGGTCACTCGGGGACAGATTTGACCTGCTTACTTCAGTTTTACCGAGTCCGGGTCGCCCTAAACTTGTCAAATTGGGTTTGAGACAATTCCTGGAATGACCAGGGGGCCAGGGCGGATAAGGAGAAAAAATAGAAGGAACTCGCGTACACAGTACAGTAGCCCTATTGCTCTGCAGCAAGTGGGAGATTTACCACACAAAGGGTTGGGTGGCACACTAATTTCAACGAATGCCACCGTCCGACCCAAGTCGCGTCCGCATTTGTCCGTGCGAGCCCAAGGGGGTACCGGCATTCAAACCGGCGACTAAGGGCCGGTTAGTTAGTCCCGCCGCCAGGTCGGAAAAAAAAAATCAACCGCTATTTTTTGGCCGGGAAACACTGTTTGACTAGCTCTGAGGCAGTTGATTTTGGTCTCTCAGTGTTGTATGCCTTCAGACTGCCCTGTTTACTCATCTGCACCTGTTGCCTGAGTTGAAGTCCATATATGGTAAGAGAGATGATAGTTCTTGGATGATCAAAACTTGTCGTGGGAGTTGTGTTGGAGGGTTGAATACTGCAATTGGTATCATATATCAAAAAGAGCTCAATATGGATGGACTGCATTAATTTTACACCTTGAACACGTAACAAATTACCATATATGGTGCGTGGGAACGTTACATTAGTTAGTTAGTTAGTCCAGCGGTCGAGTCAGAAAAAAGAAAAACGGCCCTATATATTTTTTTGGAATGCCGGCACCCCCTTGTGCGAGCCTTCAAACCGTGACATCGGACAGCGGTGCATGTTAGAGAGAATGAGGTGAAGAATCTTGACAGTACACTGGTGATGTATTGAGGAGAGCGACGAGGTGGTGGGAGCTAAGTCGAAGTGATGTGTTTGTTCGTGATCTCTGCGGATCACTGAGCAATGGCCGGCGCCATTGTTATGTGTAACGTCACACTCTCTCTCTGTCAGCGACCACCATGACCACCAACCACCCCGCTCACTGCAAATGGCCCAACGAGATGCGGGCAGCGTATTCCCCCAGTGGGTAGCCGACTAATCTTAACACAACAGTTCAAGTCGTCGGCCTGCGCAATTTGTGTGCTTGCCACTTGCTTGCCACCCGTTATAACTTGAAACAGAAGACACCAGGAATGTTGTGTGTACCTTGTCCGTTCCTTACAACCTCTTCTCCCTAGCTCAGCTTGCCTCTCAGCTCTTCGAATCTCACCCAACAACATCTGTATCGCGGGTGGCGGGCACTTACAGTACGGTGTCGTCCGCTTAGCTCCAGCGACACCCGGTTAACAGTGCATATACAAGTGTATCCTTTCTTCATATTAGCGCCACTATCGGCTACAAATCAGGTGGAGGTGCCAGGAGTGGGCAGCGTTTGAACCCCGGCAGCAGCGTTGTGCAAAAAGCCAAAAACCCGCCAGCGAGTGTTGCCCATTATAATACACCTTCCCTCTTTTGATTCCTTTCACTCCTTGACTCCAGTGAACTTCGATCGACCATGCCGTTAGGTGTGTGCTTTTCCTGTGCCCGCGCCCAGTACGCAGGTTTTCGCTACTTATTTACTCCTGGCTACGAATGAGGTGCACTGGGGGACCATACCTGACCACGGTTGACCATTTTACCCTTATCACTGTTGGAATATCAAGCCGACATGTCCGCGGACACGCGTCCGTGAAACGCGTACTTATGGTTTCAGCTGGTCTGATGTCATTTGTTTCTTGAAGCTCATTGTCGTGCGCACCTTGTTTATCCCATTGTTCCTACTTGTATAAAAGGCCTGCTATTATCTTGAATAAATTATCGAATTCTCTTGTATCCCCGTTTGAACCAACCTACAAATTTCTACAATCACGTCGTTGAACCGCCGCATTAATATTTATATACCCCCTGTTGTTTAGGTTATGAATGGAACTTAAGTTTTGCACCCAAACTTAAGTCGTCGGTGGGACTCAAGTTTCTGGCAAGACTTAAGTCTGAAGTACTTAAGTGTCTGGTCTGCTGAGAGCCCTATAGAGGTACGTTGCGCACCAGGTGAAACTTAAGTTCCGGGGAACTTAAGATGCAATGTCGATGATTTCACGCAGAACTTAAGATGGGCTTGTCATATTTCATTTTCGTGGGATACTTGATTCCAGACCACCAGTACCCACCAAGCCCGCATAGATCAATGCTAGATCATCTCTCCACAATGTCGTTGCAATCGATTGATACTGAGAAGACAGAGGTTCAGATCCTCCTACGGGCATTCATCTTTGGCCTGGTCCTTTTTTTCTGCATGAGAGGATTGACCAGAGCTAGACTGAAACCAGTACATACGTTGAAACGGCGCCACACCAAGGCACTGCCATCTAGCTAAACTTTGCGCTTTTTAAGCCACTAGTTACACTAGTGTTCCTAGGAAGACAAAGCTAGCTTCTGTATCAACAGAACTCTGTCAGGTGGTACAAAGGAGAACCAGACCGAGCTCCGACTGCTGGTTGTAGTATGAACGCGACTGAGGCACGCAGTTACAAGCGATACCAGGATCTGAAGTACATTATCAAGGAGGATATTCCTGCCTAGGAACGGAGTACAACAAGGGATCTATAAATATAGAGCCAATGACTGCACAAAGAGGAACCTAGCATTTGCCTAGGAGGACAGAACTCGGCGATAACCAAGTAGATGCCAAGGACGAGGGTCCTAGGGCCATTGGTTACGCAATTGCTACCAAGGAAGACGGATTGGAAACGATAGCCAGTCTCCTAGGAAAGAACGCACAGTACCTAGGGATGGATTATACCTGACTATTTTAGCAGGACTAGCCTAACGGCCCCCGGGAAAGCCAAATGGAGACGATTGGCAACGATGGGGAGATGTCACCTTGCTAAAAAGTTCAGACCGCGAACGAACGGACGTTATCGGAGGATGACAAGACATGAATGAGTGTGCTAGGCGACGCGGAACCGCCTCGGAAGAATGACGCATGATCGGCTGCAGTCGGCAGCCAGTCATTGCAAATACCAGACCCACCTAGGCCAAGGAAAGCATCAGCCACGCTGACTGTTTCATCTGGCCGCAATTACGAATCACCTCGGCAGCGTTTTCTTGCTTGCCGAACGACCAAACACCACCACTCCATTACTCATTTCATCTTATCTCATCTCAAAGGACTCAGTAGTATAAAAAGAACCAGAAAAAGCCGCTATAGCTCAGTTCATCCCCGCTCATCGTAGAACGGTGTGGGTGTCCTCGGGCGATCTGCGGAGAGAATAACATAGTTTTCCTCTGTATCTGTATTGTCTGTAGAATCGAACCTTGGTTTTTGATTGGCTATTTTCGGAGTGACATTTCCAGTTGAATATCTCTGAGAACCAGTGCAAGTATAAACAACTAAGTTTTGCGTTGGAACAAGAGGCGGTTCGTTGCTCCACGTATAAAATCTACGAGGGCCACACGCGCTAGGAAGGAAGACTTATCCGTTGCATTGGCTGCGCGGTTACTTCGCATTGGCAACGCAGAGGCTGCGCTAGTTTCGACCTAAACACCAAGTTAGGCGCTAGCTAGGTAGAACACTTTGGTTGAGCGCAGTGGAAGATTGAACCGGTAGATCGCAGTGAACAGAGCTAGTTGTCCCTAGGCCCCAAAAAGCCAAAGCGTACGGAAACGTTCTTGCGTTAGTACAGGAAACGCAAGTCCAGCAAGGCGGTTATCTGGCCTAGTCTTGTTGAGAGGCAGTACTTGTGGAAGCAGCATAGCCCTATTGGGATTTTCAGACGGAAACTTTACAAACTTTGCCTAGGAGCTACTTCGGTAACCCTAGTACCCTACCCCCCCCCCCAAACCCGTTCACAAATCACCAGTCGGTGTGCAGCGTTTCGAGTCAAGGATTGTGGTAGTACCAAAGAACAGACCAGAGAGTAGGACCAGTGTCAGTAGCAGAACAGAAATCAATACCTTTTCGTTGCCCCGTAGGAATCCAAAACCAGTAGTCGCATACTACGGCTCGGACCCGAACTCAACCAAGGAGTGCGCCAGTTCTTGGGAGTATAAAGTGAAGTTGTGTTAGTTGTGTGTGTTAGTGGTTTGTTGCATTTAGTGCGCATTCCCTAGGCATATCCTAGCGAGTTTCATAGTCAGGTGCAGCTGCCCGTTTCAACATAGTTCTTCTCGCTTCCATCGACCTCGGTTCTTTCTTGTGACTATATAATATTATTACAACTGCCATCATTTTGGCTCTCACTCTCGTCATTACTAGTCGTAGGCAGTGATCCTGAACCACACATCGGAACATGGTCTCGGACCATCCTCTCCCGACATCCCAATATGGGAACCCTGTCGTGAGAGTCTGGGCTTGAGCCAACGAGTTAGCCGTACCATTGCGCTATCATTTTTTGATGGGTTTTTTTTGACGTCGGTTGAGATGACTTCACACGGGCATTTAGGTGTATAATATTGCAAGTTGGTCTATAGAAGCAGTAAATAGTGTGCAAAACTAAACATCTGCCTTAACTCTGGCCACGGGAGCCTTCAGAAGAGATAACCAAGTATAAGAAAGGTGTTTGCCCCGTGGGACCAGTGTTTGCACTGCAAGTGACCCCAAACACCCAGAAAGTACGCAGAAAAAAATGAGGCGCACTTTGAGAGGTCAACAATAGATACTAGGTGTCTTTATATTATTTCCGAATATTGCAAAGACTCAAATCCATATTTTTCCTACCAAACGGCCGTGTGAAGTCATCTCAACCGACGTCAAAAAACCCATCAAAAAATGATAGCGCAATGGTACGGCTAACTGGTTGGCTTAAGCCCAGACTCTCACGACAGGGTTCCCATATTGGGATGTCGGGAGAGGATGGTCCGAGACTAATCGGAACACCTGCATAGATCAACACTAGATCACCTGTCAAACTCACCATGCTCAACTCTGTTGTAGACAGGAGATGGAGGTTCGAATCCTCCTGCTGTCTTGCAGGTATGGGTCGGCGACTCAGACATCTTTTTTTTCACCCTTTGATTCTTACTAAGTAAGCCGACCTATTTCCCGGTCAGAGTCTAGTTACTTAGGCTCCAACCAGTTCCTGCTGCTCCTGCACATCGTGACTATAGGTATTACAACTGCCTGAGGCCTCCATTTTTCGCTCTTCATTTTGTCTCGCTCTCATGATTACTAGGCATAGGTAGCGGATCCTGAACCACACATCGGAACACCTGCATAGCTCAACGTTCGATTGCCTCTCAAGTTTTCGAGCTTAACATCTGTCCATGTTGGCAATAAGGAAATAAAGGTTCAGATCCTCCTGGGGGCATAGGGGTTGGTGAACCGTGATTTTTTGTGTTTCTTTTCCATTCTTAGAGCTTACTCCCAAGCCTTCCTCCCTACACACCCTGAACTCGACTTGGCTAACGAGACCAGCCCTTCCGAGTCGAGCAAGAGCTTCTCGCTAAGTATGCCTCAACAAAAACATTTTACTCTGATGAGTCCTGCACTTGTGGGATAATTCCAAACCACCAGCACTCATCAAGCCCGCATGGATCAATGCTAGGTCATCTCTCCACAATGGCACCTGCATCCATTCAGCCTGACACCGAGAGGACGGAGGTTCGAATCCTTCTGCGGGTATGTGGGATGAGTGTTTTAATTTTTTTGTGTTTCTTTTCCGTTCCCAGAGCTCACTCTTAAGCGTCCCTACACACTGAACTCGACTTGACTAACAACACCAGCCCTAATTCCGAGTCGAAAGCTCATTCAAGAGTTCCTCGCTATCACTGTGCCTCAAACAAACACATTTTAACGAGTCCTGCTCTTACCTGCTCTTACCCTTGTGGGATACTGAATTCCAAACCACCAGTGCTCTCAATTGCAAGCCGTATAGATCAATGCTAGATCATCTCAGTATTATTGGTGCGTACGAGGTTTACTACTGAGAAGACGGAGGTTCGAATCCTCCTGTGGGCATACGGAATGTCATTGGTAACATTTGATTTTTTGTGTTTCCATTCTGTTCTTAAAGCTCACTCCCAAGGCTCCGTACACAACCTGAACTTGATTTGGCAAACAACACCAGCCCTAATTCCGAGTAGAAAGCCCATTCAAGAGTTTCTTGCTATCACTGTCCCTCAAACAAACACATTTTAACGAGTCCACTTTCACCTGCTCTTAGCCTTGTGAGATATTTAATTCCAAACCACCAGCACTAGTGCTCCCAATTGCAAGCCTGTATAGATCAATGCTAGATTATCTCAGTATTATTGGTGCGTACGAGGTTTACCACTGAGAAGATGGAGGTTCAAATCCTCCTACCGGCATAGAGATTCAAGAACTTTGATATTTTGTGTTTCCTTTCCGCTCCACTCTTAGAGCTCGCTCTGATTGCAAGCCTCCCTACACACCCTGAATTCGAATCGGCTAACACACCATTCCTTCCGAGTCGAAAGCTCATTCAAGAGTTTCTCGGTATCAGTGTACCCAAAAAACACATTTTAACGAGTCCTGCTCTTAGCCTTGTGGGATACTTAATTCCAGACCACCAGCACTCACCGAGCCCGCATAGATCAATGCTAGATCATCTCTGCACAATATGATCTCATCTAGTCTGATACCGAGAAGACGGAGGTTCAAATCCTCCTGCATCAGTAAAACTACACGTTTGTCTTTGGCATCTTACATCTTTGTGAACCATCTTTGAGTGTCTTGGTCTTTTGGGAGCCGTCTTTGGTCTTTGGAAGCGCATCTTTGAGAGTCTTTGTCCTGGTGCCGGTGTCTTAAGTCTTTGCGAAATTTATGTCAACAATTTTCATGTGTCTCAAAATTGATGTCTAATTCACCCTCAAGCTTCCAGAATGCGGTACAAGCATGTAGTAAATGAACTTGAGCGCGACACTGTCCATGGATACTACTGCAGGGCTCTGAGTCCAAGTGAATTCAGAATCACGAGGTGAGCGACTTGAATGGCAAAAACATGAGGGATGGCGCAATACAAGACCTGGGTACAATTGCAGCAGTGCTAGCTCCGGGTTTTTCAAGGCGGAGGTGCTACCGTGCAGATGCGCATTCTGAAACAACACAAGTCATTGAAACTCCGCCCGATCATGATGCGGAGATTTGAGGCCGCCCGATCAATTGCGCCATAATGACTCGATGGGATCATGTCGTTGGTTGCTCTCTACCTTCATGTCGCCTCTCTCCCTCGGACCTCCTCAGCGTTATCCTCGCCGTCGCCGCAAGTCCCTCAAGCTTCCAAGTCCCGCCTGTTCCTAGACTCGAAGCCTCTTGGTCAACACGGTTGCTTTAGCAAGCCTAGGGACTCTTCCACGCGTCTGTTCTCCATAGTGCCCGGGCTGCTTTTGCTTAAGTCCTTGCCTCTACCCTCACCTGAAACCTTCTCTCCCCTCAAAATCTCAAGAACCTCGAAGCTTGAAGTTCGCAGATTTTGCCCTCTCAATGTCAAGTCTTAACGCTTTACAAATTTGGCGTCGTGTTTCCTTCTCAGCACTTCAAACACCGAGTTTTCAAGTCGTCTTCCGCGAACGCGATTCACAAACACTACGGGTCCATGGTGTGGAGCGTTATTCGAGGGTCAATTCCAGCCCTCTTCTCACCATGCGGCTCTCACGGCGCGTCTCCAAATCTTCAACGGTCTTTGTCCAGTCCTCAAGTTTGAATCTTTCATCGGTCTGTGAAGCATTGCAGTGTGGTGGATAACCGGCGTCGCTGGTGGCCAGGTGCACAATCCGACCTGTGTGCGATCGTAACTGATCTTGGCTTTGTATCTGTGGCTTAGCTTGTCCGCTGCGAAGACCGTTGCCGTCTCCCGTGCTGTAAGGCCGTGTCCTCTGCGCTCCCGTGTTGTAGCCTGGCTGCTGACTAGCCGTGGCTGTTCTTATTTTGCCATGGGGAACGTGCGGAGGCATACGCACTATGTTCTATGTATATGTACCCGTGAATATATCATCTACACTATATTATGTGTCTTTCTAAGTGTCTTTAAGTGTCTTTGAGTGGTCTTAGAGAGAGTCTTGAGGAAAGACCCACCTGTCTTACGAGTCTTGCCCAAGACGAAACATCTTGCAAAGACTTTTGAACCTGTCTAGCCAAAGACGCGTGTCTTTGGGGGAAATGTGTCTTTGGCGTCTTTCATGTCTTGCCCAAGACGCCAAAGACGCCAAAGACAACCGTGTACTAGATCATCTCTCCACAATTATTGGTACATTGAGCCTGATACCCAGAAGACGGAGGTTCAAGTCCTCCTGCGGGCATGTGGGATGATGTTTGCAATTTCTTTTTTTTCCCCCATTCTTAGCTACCCAAGGCTCCCTAAACACCCGCGACTAACAACACCAGCCCTTCCGAGTTGAAAGCTCAACTATCACTGTGCCTCAAACAAACATTTTAACGAGTCCCCTGCACACCTTTATAGGATAATTCCAAACCACCAGCACCCACCAAGCCTGCATAGATCAACACTAGATCATCTCTGCACAATATGCTCTCATCTAGTCTGATATTGAGAAACGGAGGTTCGAATCCTCCTGCGGGCATTGGGAGCAATATATTGGTTTTTTTACTTACTCCTCGTCTTTCGCCAGTGTTTGGGGTTTTCTAAGAATAGATTCCGCAACTACATCGCGAAAACGGGGAACTTTTTGGAAGCGGATATCTACCGATGGAGATCAGCACAATCATCAAAACCCGCGGCAGACGTGGAAAAGCCTTGTGATGTTCAACAGGCGGTTATAAGGCACCATTTTTCTTACAAAGCTCACAAGGCTTGCGGCGTCTACAATGCTTTTCTGAGGGTCTGCAGACTTCTTGCCCGTTACGTTGGTATGTACTCTCGCGGATATTTCCAAGGCCTTTCTTGACGTGTCTTGGGTTGTAATTATTCATGTATCTGCAATGGAGTCCAAGTGCAGCTCAAAGTTACCGGCCTTTCATAGTATGCCAGGCTTTATCGTCCATAATGAACAGTGCACACAATTTGCAGATTTGCGAATGGAAAATGCATAAAAAAATTGATTCAGGCGCCGGCACGTAGAGGACAGTATGTAGGGCATAGAAGCTAAGCAGCAGCCGACGACGCATTGCGGGCACGCTTGGCGGCGTGCTGCGCTTGCAAAACCGCCTCAGCCCAATTGACAGCTCCGAGAAGTACCAGTCTGCCTACGGCAATGAGCTTGCCTTATAAGAACACCGTAGGCAGACTGGTCACGAGTCTATGTCCAGGGGAAAACTCCAAATCCGAGCCATCTTCAAGAAGGGGCAGGAGCAGAGAGCAGAATGTGTAAGAGACACAGATTCAGTACAGAGGTATGGCTGAGAGGAAGGAGACATTTGCCACATCGATTTGGAGCTGGGGAGACTCGAGAGTCGGCAGTGCATGGCAAGGTCTGTCTTACACACTTCAAATGACAGTATGTACACTTTTCGTTTGGCTGGGAATGAGGCGGATGACGTGAAAAATGCTGATGAAAATGTGATGGCCTGCAAGTTGCGAATGATAGGCGCTATAAGACCCGTACCTAAAGGTAGCGGGAATTTTGTGGAGCCAGCCAGTTTCATCAGTTTTTCGACAATCGCTGAAGCTGTGAGTGTTTGACCCTCCTAGGGAAGGGCACGGGTCCGGGTCACCCTCTTCACCGCTGTCATCCAATTGTGGTCGGATATTGAAATCGAGCTCTGTTTAATATTTTGCTTCATATCCACGACGTCCGAGAGAGGGTTCTCTGAATCCGTCGGCTGCAGACCAAATTGAGAGGCTCGGAAAATGCGTACATTCATCATGAACGAGGGTTACAAGTAAACCAGAACCTCAGAACATTGATCTTTGGTTTTGTCCATTATCCTGCTTCAAGAGAAAGCTGCAATCGCTGAGGTGAAGGCTGTATCCATGTTGTTCTGAATGGTGGTTGCCTGTGACTTCAGGTCGGCCTGCGGAAATAAGTCAACCATCCAAAATTGCGTGCGTAGAGAAAGTCTTACTGGAACAGCCGCGATCAAAGCACCAGTAAACGCATCTGTGTCGGTCTTGAGAGCTTCGAGACCCAAAAGAACCATTCCTGGGATCCCGCCAACGTGCAAAGCGATCTATGCAAGTAAATCAGGGACTCCGCCCACCGAAGAAAACAAGCATTATTCACAGCTTCTATTCGTATGAGCGCCTCATTAAAGACGGGCGCGATAGCAAGTTGCACATCGTTCAGGATGTTTGTACTATCGGCTTCGTCAAAGGTCCCAGTTGCCTGTGGACAATCAATCGTTGAGTGAAAAGCGAAGAACAGATTCGAACCTTCACATCAGATGTGCCGGTGTTTAATGCCGTTCCCAAGGATTCTGGAATTTCCTGCACGTGAAGGTCATGATTAAAAACGGCGTAAACAAACGAGGTAACAGTAAATACCGGTACTAAACCCTCGATGATGTTGTTGTTGAATGCAATTACTTCGGTCAAGATGCTGACAATATCTGCCTCGACTTGGGCAACAGTCCGTTTAGTCGGGACAGCAATGCTGGCCGCAATCAAACAGAGCGAGAAGAACGAGCGGGTGAATTGAACCATGTTTTGACGGATGGGTTCGGCCCCTCACAGTCGACCGCATTTTATAGCTTGGGACAATGTTCACGAGATACAATTGTAGACGCTAACAGCTAACTGCAAAACCCTAGAGCGCTTTCAAAAAAAAGTTCACGAGCAATTTAGGATGTCAATTTCCTTTTTGAAGCACGTGTCACGGCGATGTCAACGTGTGCGGCGGCGGTAGTGACAAAGCAATCTAGACGAGAAAAGTCGCGGAGGCGACGGATTTGTATCGAGAAGGCGCAATGGGTGGGCCGTCATTTTGCATCGAGAGGGCGAAAGGAAAACGTGCGAATGGGTAAGAGAGGTAGCCGAGGAAAGAAGCGAGTCCCATTCGCACCCTTCTCGTCATTTGATTACTCCCGACTGACTGAACATCTCGGTTCCTCAATAGAATTCCCGCTTTCGGGCCTCAAAACGACTTTTGTCCGAACCAATTTCATTTTCCCACGCTTTCTGAGGACGCCAAAAATCGTTGTTTTCTCGAGGCGTTCACTTTTAGTTTTTTTTTCGAACCAAATTTTTCGGAAAATTTCGTCCGAACTCGTGATTCAACCTATATTCGGATAAACATAGGTCCTGGAAAGCCGTTGGAAAAATCGATCATTCCAAGGGTTTCAAATGACCGGAAATGGCCTCAGATTGCCGAGGGTTTCGCCGGCCGGCATGGTCGGTTTTAATCGGTCCTGAGTGACCGATTTTTCCCCAAGGTCAATCTACACTTCTGAGATGTACGGGTTGATGCGAATTGTACGTGTTTAGGCGCTCGGTTGTCAAATCTGGAAGCATAGACGCGAATGGAGCACCAGAACAGAGCAGAACAGTGGGTTGTGCCTAAGAAGTTGAAGAACCAAGTAGCATAGACGCAAATGACCTTTTCGCCTACGGCCGCGGCTACTCCTGCACCAGTCGGTCGTGCAAAAGCAGCTTGTCAAGACTGGGCTACCGCTCGCAAGACCCCGGATCAACGCGCCCGGGCAGCTGCTGCCTTTACTATTTCAACTTCAACGGTCCCGAAGAATTTTTGGGAGGCTATGGAGCACCCGGAAGTTTGGATGGGGCCGATGGAGAAAGAGTACGGGTCGCTCATGGGTCGGGAGGTTTGGGTTCTCTTGGATCCGCCTCTTGGTGCGAATGTCATTGATTGCAAGTGGGTGTATGCAGTTACATCAGGAAAACCCGAAAGTCACATTTGCCAACAACTGTTCGCAATTGGGGACAATTGTCAGATTGCAGGCTGTTGTCAACTTTTGTCAGATTATTTACGCCTCTTTCCATTGACACCAATTATCTGCAATTATAGCCCATTATTCACTGTTACCGCCGGATTTTCAGATCATTATCAGTTCATTATGCAGCTCCCGATCGACATTTTCACCCCAGTTTACAAGAACAACTGTGATGCATTATAACGGTGGGTATACAATAGGAGGTAAGTAATGTATAACTAGAAATTATAGACACATTAAGTAAGAAGTCGGATAAAGTCTGAATGCGCAGAGGTCAGGAACCCACCGTAACTTCATGTGTCCTGGCGTCAATTCACCCAGGACATATAGCTACGACATATCCATATAGACTATCTGAGACAGATCAGCAAGGTGCGTAATGATAGCCAAAAGGTTTGCTTGCGTCGCAGCACCCCCGAGAGGCTGAAAAGAGCTTGGCGCAAATTTCTTGTTCGGAGGTGAGGAAAGAGGAGACAAGCCCCCGGGTACGCTGCAGTCGCGAGTTCTAACGATAATTATCTGGTCATGTAAAGTAATGATTGTTATTGTCCACAGCGCAACGGATTTGATACGACTTTGTGAGATCTGTCCGACAGCAAAATAAATCCCCAAAATTGAGACCTTATTGATTGCGCGTCATGTTGTCAGGGGTCCAGGGACTGACGAGAGTAATGTACCAGCTCCAGTGTCCAGATAATGCTCCTTTCTACTCTTCTTGATGTTTACATCGCGGTTAACGTAGGACCAATGATAATAGGTTGGAAGACCTGATTTTTTGGGGAGCAAAATGTCAGGACAAAATAAAAATTCCCACGCTTTCTGAGGCTGCAGAAAACGTTCTTTTAAAGCGAGCATTTTCGGTGTTTTTTGGGTCAAAATTTGGACCATAAAATGTCAGGACTCCCGCCCCCCAAAAAAAAACAGTTTAACTGAGAGTTAACACGGTATAAATGAGAGTTGCACTACATCTATTTCGCTGCAGGTAATTTAATCTCACCCCTGGCGGCAGCAAACAACACTGCCTCGGCGCGCTTGTCGCGTGGTACTAGCAGCATGTCAATTGAGGGAAGGAGAGGAGTTCAAAGAGAGGGTAATTACTGATTCCCCTCTCCCTGAGGCATTGGTCGCTCTTTTCCCGCTCTCCTTCCAAGTAGGACACAAGATTGAAGTCTGGCTCTAGGGCAAACTTGAAACCTGCTGAAATTAGATGCTCTCGGCACTGCTCAGTTAACCTCGCCCACATGTGGGCAGTTTCATTCGCGCGTTCTGCGTAACCGGGCTTCTGATCGGGCATCCCTCCAAGATGATTCCATGCTCGCGTATTGAAGTCGAAGGCAGCCAGGCAGCGAAGAAACTCGGCCAGCTTGATTTCAACCTGCTCTTGGAAGCGGTCCATTTCCCCTTCCGCTCTTGCCCACTGTACTCGATCGCCTGTATACAATTCAACATCTAGTTCACAAGAGGTACGAGAATACTACCTTCAGTCTCCCAGTCACGCATTTCTGTGTCAGTCATATTGCTCGGGCGTCTTAATTCCCAGAGCCACCCATTTTTGTTGGCAGGGTTTGGGTCGGTACGATTCAAATCCTTCTCTGCTCGCTTCTGAGCCGGAGTTCCTGCATGAAAATGAGAAGAGAAGGTCTATGGGATGCTTCGAGCGCTTACGTTTGGTTCGGGTCGACATTTGTACGCTACCTGTAAAACCATAAGACTGTGCGATGCATGATGCCACCCA